TATCTCTGCGGATGAACTGCAAATAATTAACCCCATTTCCAATGATGGTGCAGCCAGGCGGCTCTGAGTAATGCCAAAATGGCCACATAAACAGGTTTAGCATTGCAAAAGGGGTTGTTTCACATTCGGAAAGGGTGTTCCTTCTCTTCCCCCTGGCATCAAATAAGGAGGAACTCAATGCCAAAGGAATATTCAGCAGCTGCTTTATAAATTCTCCAAGGCTTCTGCTTCCACAATTCACTTCGCTCTCCGAGCTACTGAAGACTCAGATCGTATCTCCAAGTTGGTGAGTAGTTTGGGTTGCTTCCGCCAGACTGACTGAGCATCGAAAAGGCCGGCAAAGCTGAAATTCAGATTTATTTCGGCTTGAATTCAGATGAAGTTTGCAATCTTGGTGAAAGGAAGAAAAAAAAAACCAAGTTATCGAAGGATGCTTGAATGGAAGGCGGCTGTTTTAATCATTAAGCGGCTGTTTTGGTGCACCTTAAAAACGGAAGGTTTCAACTGAACGCCTAAATTTAAATTCAGATTTATTTCAGCTTGAATTCGGATGAAGTTTGCAATCTTGGTGGAAGGAAGAAAAAAAAACAAGTTATCGAAGGATGCTTAAATGGAACGCGGCTGTTTTAATTGTTAAGCGGCTGTTTTGGTGCACCTTAAAAGCGGAAGTTTTTAACTGAACGCCTAAATTTAAATTCAGATTTATTTCAGTTTGAATTCAGATGAAAGTTGCAATCATGGAAGAAGAAAGAAACCCAGTTTGTTTGTTTGTTTTGTTTTGTTTTTAAGAAACTGAGTTATTGCAGTGTGCTTGAATTGAATGCAGCTGTTTTAATTGTTAGCGGCTGTTTTGATGCACCTTAAAATCGGAACTTAAATCTAAGCTTAAATTCAGGTTTATTTCAGGTTTATTTATTTCAGGTTGCAAACTCAGTCCCAAACTCAGTTGCAGTCTTGGATGAAGAAGGAAACCCGGTTTTTTAAAATACAAACTGAGTTATTGAAGGGTGCTTGTATTGAATGCGGCTGCTTTAATTTTTAGCGGGTGCTTCCATGCACCTTAAAAACTGAAGATTTTAACTTAAACCTAAACTTAAATTCAGATTTATTTCGAGCCCATATGAAGGTTGCAATCTTCAAAGAAGGAAACTCAATTTTAAAAAGAACTAGCTGAATACCCATGCTCTGCTACGAAACCATGAGATCGGGCTTGATAAATCGACACTTACAGCTTGAAACTTAATAAGTAGTTATGATCGGCCTCTCCTCTCCTCTTCTCTCCCTCTGCCTTGCCCCACAGAAACATCTCCTATCCTATCCTCCTTCTCTCCCTCAGCCTTGCCCCACAGAAGCCTGTCCTATGCTATCCTGTTCTCTCCAGAGTTATTTTCAAGCTGGGAGGAGGAGTAGAAAGTCTTACTAATTAGCATCAGAGCATGTTATAATAATATAGGAAATACTAATGCTCTGATGGTCGTTTCGAAAAATCGTTTCTTAGTGAGCACCTAGAAGCCCAGAGGAACATAAGTGGCAAATTTCAAGTTTATAGGCTTTACAGTTCTGGAGATTTTGTGATTACAGCGTGAGTGGTTTTCGCTTGTATATATATATAGATTGGGTTATTTGCGGGTGCTTGAATGGAATGGGATGGGTGTGTTTTTTAGTCTTTGATGATTATTTCTAGATTTACGCACTGGGGGAAAACCGCAATGCAGAATTGGTTTGATTTACTGAGGGTGTGGGGTTGAGTAGAATTAATTAATGAGAGGGATTTGGGTTAATTTGATTAATAATGATGGTTTGGGTTGATTAGGCAAAAATCATCCTGCTTGGGAATAGATTGTTTAATTCAGGTTTATGAATTTAGTAGCTGGTGATTGGCCTCACCTGAATTATAATAATAAAAATAAATAACTTGGTTTAACTCAGTTAGGGAACACACTGGCATGTTATATTTTGCCTCGGATTGATTGAGCCCCGTCGATTTGCCGGAAAACCAACGAAAATCAAATAAACCCACTTTAGCTTCCTGGCTGAGATATTTTCAAATCCAGTTTAGCTGCTCGCAATTCTGGAAGTTTGCACTTACGACTGTGCAACAGTTCGATTCCAGCAGTGGACTGGCCAATCCAGGGAGGAAATTAAATTTCATTCTCCGATGAAATGATACCGATCGGAACAAATTTTAATATTTGCAATGCCGACTGGCCTGCAATCCTTTCCAGTCAGGTCTTCAAGTAAAGTCGCTTTAAGATGCGTGGACTTCAATTCCCAGAATTCCCCCACCAGGATAAGGTGGCCATGTTTCTTCTCCTTGAATTTATTATTTTTTTTAAAAAAAATGGAATGGAAACTTGGCTTTTTGGGGGCAAGGCAATTTTGTCTGATTTTGATAATCCACCACTGAGGTGAGGGAGAGTGGATCCTCCAGGTTCAGGAGCAGTCTACCACCAAGGAAAGCAGGAAAGCAGGCCGGAAGGGAGCAAATTACTAAATAAGCTTTCTGAGGATTGAAACAACCGGATGATTCTTCTTTTCATCTCTTTCCCAGGTTCCTTGAAGTCCAGCAGGATGTCCTACCAGAGTCAGCAGTGCAAACAACCTTGCCCCATTCCTCCCCAATGCAAGAAGACCATCCCGCCATGCTGCCCCCCACCCCAGCAGTGCTGCCCCCCCCCCCAGCAGTGCTGCCCCCCTCCCCAGAAGTGCTGCCCTCCACCCCAGAAGTGCTGCCCACCGCCCCAGCAGTGCTGCCCACCGCCCCAGCAATACTGCCCACCACCCCAGCAATGCTGCCCCAAGCAGCAGGATCAAAACCCAAAATGCTGTTAAGAAGCTGTTGAAGGCAACGTCCGGAAGGGGGATGGAGAAAGAGAAAGTCCATCTCTTGAGATCTTCCAACCTCAACCAACACGGAAGCCCACCAAGAAAACAAGGCCCCTGGGAATTGATGATTCGAGACACCTTCCACGCAGCTCCGGGGTGGCTTATTTCATTGGCTTCTCGAAGGCCAACCCAACCACCGAAAGACCATACGGTTGGAGAACTCGGCAACCAAAACCATCATGAGAACTTCCAAGAAGAACCGGGCTCTTGATCCTGGATCATGTCATCGTCTTCTCCTCTCTTTCCCCTTCCTGCCTTGCCCTGCGCTCTGCTTGTCCCCTGGCAAAATCTTATTAAAATGCATGAATTAGCTGACATTGGAAAGTTGAATTTCTATGGGGCCTTTGGGTGTGGGTGAGGAAGGGAACACAAGGGGGCAGGACAAGAAGCCTTGGTTGGTAATAAATCAAGGAGAGAAGCAACCTGGAATGAAGGAGAAACTCCCTAATGGTGAGGACAATGAACCAGTGGAACTGCTTGCCACTAGATGGGTGATGGGTGCTCCATCACTGGAGGTTTTCAAGAAGAGATTGGAAAACCATTTGTCTGTAATGGGATATGGTCTCCTACTTGAGCAGGGGGCTGGACTAGAAGACCTCCAAGGTCCCTTCCAACTCTGTTATTCTACTATTCTGCTACTCTTTTTTTACTTACTTACTTACTTTCCTTCCTTCCTCCCTCCCTCCCTCCTTCCTTCTCCCTTCCTTCCTTCTCTTGGAAAACCATTTGTCTCTAATGGGATATGGTCTCCTATTCTATTCTATTCTGTTCTGTTCTGTTCTGTTCTGTTCTCTTCTCTTCTCTTCTCTTCTCTTCTCTTCTCTTCTCTTCTCTTCTCTTCCGTTCTATTCTATTCTATTCTATTCTATTCTGTTCTGCTCTGTTCTGTTCTGTTCTGTTCTGTTCTCTCCTGTTCTCTCCTGTTCTTTTCTCTTCTCTTCTGTTCTCTTCTCTTCTCTTCTCTTCTATTCTCTTCTATTCTATTCTATTCTATTCTATTCTATTCTATTCTATTCTATTCTGTTCCACCACAAAGATCCTGTAGGGTGGACTACTGGCCAAATTTGAGACAGCAACATCCAACCAAGTTTCACCAAGACTTTCTCAAGGTCACTAGAGATTGGATCAGGCTTGATTTACAAAACACAGGTCGAACTTATGACCGCAATTATGACCATTTCTCACACTTATGACCGTTGCACCATTCCTTACGTTCCGCATGATCAAAATTCAGATGTCAGGTCCCCTTTATCACCGTGTTCCTCATTTAACAACTGAAGGGTTTTGCTTAACATCGGTGGCAGGAAAGGTTGGGAAATGGGGCAAAACTTAACGCAGAAGGGAGGCCAGATCTAAAGACAAAGGAAGTTTCTTGGATGGTGTCCACCAGATCCTGATTTATTCCTGGTTTTCTCAGCATATTTTGGGGTGACCAACCACGCTCGATCAGTCCGACCAACCACCACCACCCCAAACCCCACAAAATTTTTCTCCTTTGACGGTCCTCGCAAGGAAGGTTTCCAGTTTTCCAACTTTATTGACATAGTCTGAATTTTCACCGGTGTGACTGGGGGGGGTGAAAATGTGATTTAAATAGGGCAGTTTTGTGACTAACACACCCTTTTTTTAATCTGGAATTAGCAAGATAAACCAGATTTCAGTGAAGAATAAACTCATCTTGAACACAAGGTTTTCCTTAGAGAGTTATGGAATTTACAATGGGTTTTTTCCCACTTAGATCTTGTCTCTTTCCATCTGTCACAACCTTAAAAAGTCTTTATCCCATAAACCCCCCTAAAAGAAATATCTCTCAAATCTTTGCAGATCTCCAATTATTTTTATTTACAATTCAGATGTTCCTGGGTTACCTTTGTAATGAAATACAATTCTCTTTCCACGCCCGGGCTCAGCTCAGCCAGAAAGGGTGAAACCTAATTTAAGAGGAACAATAACAAAAGCACAACTGAGACAAGGTACAAGAAGCATCGTGCATCCTGGCACGAGAGAAGAACGTGGGTTAAAAACTCCTAAAAAGTCCATCAAAAATCAGAACAGATTTGGTGCCACCGAAATAAATTAACTTGGGGTAAGGGGTCAGATTTAAAAAGGAGGATATGGAGGGTCCTTGGCTGAAGATGGCCACTCCACAACGTGAGTCATCAAAGTTTCATTAGGGCTCCAAGAAGGAAAGTCAGTTTAATTTCTTGACCAAGAAGGAAAAGCAGTTAATTTTTTTGATCAAGAAGGAAAAGCAGTTAATTTTTTTGATCAAGCAGGAAAATTCGTTCATTTTCTTGATCAGGAAGGAAAATTCATTCATTGTCTTGATCAAGCAGGAAAATTCGTTCATTTTCTTGATCAGGAACGAAAATTCATTCATTGTCTTGATCAAGAAGGAAAATTCGTTCATTTTCTTGATCAGGAAGGAAAATTCGTTCATTTTCTTGATCAGGAACGAAAATTCATTCATTGTCTTGATCAAGAAGGAAAATCAGTTAATTTTCTTGATCAAGAAGGAAAATTAGTTTATTGTCTGGCCAACCTACTTCAGTGGTCCTAACATAGGAATGTAGCCACCAGGAGGCAGCCTTGATTTAGATTTTGTCAACAAATTTACTGATTTTCTGGCCACCATCAGACAAACTCTATGTTGGTTTCTTTTCTAATCTCATTCATATATATATATATATATATATATATATATATATTATATATATATTATATATATATATATATATATATATATATATATATATATTATATATATATGTTTTCTCAGGTTTTCGCGGGTGTCTGTAATGTAGGTCTTTGGTTATTCGGGTCTTCTCCCATGTAAAATTGGAAGTGTCTTGGCGACGTTTCGACAAAGTCTCATTCATCATCTTCAGGCTGGTGTTCTCGGCTTCGTGCTTCCAGGATCTTAGATCCTTCAGTACTATGAATTTTCTTTACCTGGCCCTGTTTTTTTTTTCTTTCTGTCTTTACCTGCTCTCAAATCATTATTAGTGTCGTTTATCTTGCTTTTGAGGGACGCGGTGGCTCAGTGGCTAAGACGCTGAGCTTGTCGATCGAAAGGTTGGCAGTTCAGCAGTTCGAATCCCTAGTGAAAGCGTAATGGGGTGAGCTCCCGTTAATTGTCCCGGCTTCTGCCAACCTAGCAGTTCGAAAACAGGTTAAAAAAATGCAAGTAGAAAAATAGGCACCACCTTTGGTGGGAAGATAAAAGTGTTCCATGCACCTCTGGCGTTCATTCAACCAGGAAGTATTGTGTGTGTTTATGGAGAGTGGTATTTCGATTACCACCGAAAGTTACGAGGGAAAAATAAATACAACTGAAGGAACCTCGCGGTGTAAAATTTGTAGACACAGAAGATTGAACTGCTTTCTAGTTTATTTGCAAGCTACGAGCCCACAATCTTTCTCAGGAAATCTATTTTATTGTGAACTGCACAAATAGACTTTGATGTGAATGTGACTCATTCAACCAGGAAGTGTGTGTTTATGGAGAGTGGTATTTCGGTAAAGTTACGAGGGAAAAATAAATACAACTGAAGGACCCTGAAGGACCTGCCCTGAGTCTTCGGAGAGGGGCGGCATATAAATTGAATTAATTAAATTAAATTAAATTAAACCTGGGCTTAAAAAAAAAAATCTTTCTCATTTCTTTCCCTTGCAAAAACTTACCATTGCCTTTCCACTGAGTGTATTAAACATATTACATCCTCGTTTTGGGGATTGGGGCTGAAATGATTAACAACATTAATCCTTGCCCTTGAATCTTGATAGGGTTATCTACGCACCTTGTCCTTGACTCGCTGAAGCAAAATGATAGGCCCCACAATTTCCTTGTTGTGTATCTCCCTTTAGTGGGAAAAATCTGAAAAACATCCGTATCGTACGCTTTGCCCCACACCCGGGATGGGCCCTGAGTCTTTGCCTCCATTACACCCAGGGAAAACGTTGAGTTCTCACATTTATTTTTTCATTTCTTTCTAGCCCTCTTATTTCCTGTGACTCAGGAAATGCAAAGTGTCCCATGATCAACATTTGGATGCTTGGCAACTGGTTCGGATTTGTGACGGTTGTAGTGTCCCCTTTTACGACCCTCTGACAACCAAACTCAATGGGGAAGCCTTATTCACTTAACAACCCAGTTACTAACCTTTAACAAGTGCCGTGATTCCCTTAACAACTGTAGCAAGATGGGGCAGAACTAACTTAACGAATGTTTCACTTAGCAGCGGCAATTTTGGGCTTGATTTCTGGACAATTCCTGGTCAATTTCTCAAGCTGGTGAGCTCCAGGGAAGGAATACATTGGTGAAGACAGAGTGGCTTTCCACTCACATTCCTACCTTGGAGACCAGGTGGATAAACAATTTTGTAAATTGCGTCTATTGCTTTTCCCTGGTCGAGTTGTGTAGTCCAAATGTTTCTGCAGTGTAGGAGTTGTAGATTACAGGACAATTTTTCTTCTGAAACCAAACTGCGTGTTAGAGAGTAGGTTGTTTGTCCCTAAGTGGAGGGTAATGGATTGGTTTATGATTGATTCCATGACTTTGCAGGTGACACAACATAATGAGATTATGAAAAACCTAGACCGGTAGACCCCTAGAAAAACCTCCCAGTAAACGAAAATTTTAATGGGGAGCCCAGCAGCCGATGCTAACGCCAAACTCTAACTAAGTGACCTATCGTGAGTCAAGGACTCCCCGCATTCTTGTTATTTCCATTTTCTTTTCCTCTTTCTAGCAGACGGACTCCAGAAATGCCATTCCTCCTCTGGAAGGAGGAAATCAACCCAGATCTGATAAGGAAACAAGGCCATGATCTCTTGAGGAGCACCCGGAGGCTCCAACTGGTCCAGAATGCGGCCGCGGGAGTAATAATGGGGGCGACCCGTCGCTCCCATGTAACACCTCTCTTGCACGAGCTGCACTGGCTCCCGGTGGTCTTCCGGGTGCGCTTCAAGGTGTTGGTTACCACCTTTAAAGCGCTCCATAGCTTAGGACCTGGCTATCTACAAGATCGCATTCTGCCACCGATTTGCCTCCCACCGATCGGTACGCTCACCCAGAGACAGCCTCCTCAGGGTGCCGTCAGCCAAACAATGTAGACTGGCGACCCCCAAGGGGAGAGCCTTCTCTGTGGGGGGCCCTGCCCTCTGGAATGAATTACCCCCGGACATACAAAAGATCCCCGACCTCCGCGCCTTCCGTCGTGCAGTGAAGACCCTGTTATTCCAGCAAGCCGCCCTGATGGGATAAATGATTTTAATTTGGTTTTTAATGGGGTTTTAAAATTGGTTTTAAAATGAGAGTTTTAAATTCGGCCTATGATTTAATTATTTTAATCTGCTTTTAAATTCTATTTTGTACATTGTTTTTATTATGGCTGTTCACTGCCCTGAGTCCTTCGGGAGAAGGGCGGTATATAAATATAATAAAAATAAAATAATAAATAAATAAAAATGGGTGAATGGCAAATAATTAACTCCCTTCCCAATAATGGTGCCAACAAGTAATTCTGAGGAATGCCATAAATGGCTATATAAATATTATAAAGAGGAAATTGATGCCAATAGAATGTTCAGTGGCTACTATATAAATACTCCAAGACTTCTGCTTCCTTTATTCACTTCGCTCTCCCAGCTACTTGAAGACTCAGATCGTATCTCCGAGGAGGTGAGTAGTTTGGGTTCCTTTTGCCAGCCTGACTGAGCATCGAAAGGCCGGCAAGCTGAAATTCAGATTTATTTCGGCTTGAATTCAGATGAAGTTTGCAATCTTGGTGGAAGAAAGAAAAAAAAAAAAACCTGACTTATCGAAGGGTGCTTGAATGGAACGCAGCTGTTTTAATCATTAGTGGCTGTTTCAGTGCACCTTAAAAACTGAAGGTTTTAAGTTAACGCCTGAATTTAAATTCAGATTTATTTCAGTTTGAATTTGGATGAAAGTTGCAATCATGGAAGAAGATGGAAACCCAGTTTTTAAAGAACAAACTGAGTTATTGAAGCGTGCTTGGATTTAATGTCGTTATTTTAATATTTAGCGGGTGCTTCCATGCAACTTAAAAGCTGAAGATTTTAACTTAAGCCTAAGCTTAAATTCGGATTCATTTCGAGCCCAAACGAAGGTTGCAATCTTCAAAGAAGGAAACTCAATTTTAAAAAGAATTGGGTTATTGGCAGGTGCTTGAATTGAATGGGTGTTTTCCCATTTTTCCCAGAACAATAATCTTTGGTGAGTATTTCTAGACTAGCTCCGCTATGTGATTGAGCTTGATAAATTGACACTTACAGCTTGAAAATTAATGAGGAGTTATAACCAGCCTCGCTTCTCCCCTTCTCTCCCTCAGGTTTTCTAGCCCCATCTCTCCCTCAGGCTTGCCCCACAGACGCCTCTCCTGTCCTATCCCCCTCTGTCCCTCAGGCTTTCTAGCCCCTTCTCTCCCTCAGGCTTTCTAGCCCCTTCTCTCCCTCAGGCTTGCCCCACAGAGGCCTCTCCTGTCCTATCCCCCTCTGTCCCTCAGGCTTTCTAGCCCCTTCTCTCCCTCTGGCTTTCTAGCCCCTTCTCTCCCTCAGGCTTTCCAGCCCCTTCTCTCCCTCAGGCTTGCCCCACAGAGGCCTCCCCTGTCCTATCCCGGTCTCTCCAGAATTATTTTCAGGTGGGGAGGTGGAATAAAATGTCTAACTAATTAGCATCAGAGCATATAAAAATAATATAAGAAATACTAATGATCTGGTGGTCACTTTGAAAAATCCTTTCTTAGCAAGCACCTAGAAGCCAAGAGGAATGTAAGTGGCAAATTTCAAGTTTGTAGGCTTTACGGTTCTGGAGAATTTGTGATTGTGGCGTGAGTGGTTTTCGCTTTTATATATATAGATTTACAAATTGGAAGAAACCACAAAGAATTTGCAAAAATCATCCTGCTTGGGAATAGATTGTTTAATTCAGGTTTATGAATTTAGGACCTGGTGATTGACTTTACCTGGATTATAGTAATAAGAATAAATAACTTGGCTTAACTTGGTTGGGGAACACACTGGCATGTTATATTTTGCCTCGGATTGACTGAGCCCCATCGATTTGCCGAAAAACCAATGAAAGCCAAATAAACCCACTTTAGCTTCCTGGCTGAGATCGTTTCAAATCCAGTTTAGCTGCTCGCAATTCTGGAAGTTTGCAATTCCGGCTGTGCAACAGTTGGATTTTTTTCCCCAAAGAAATCCACCGACAGACTGAACAATCCAGGGAGGAGATTAAAAATCCTCCGATGAAATGATACCGAATGGAACAAATTTTAATATTTGCAATGCCTGCTGGCCTGCAATCCTTTCCAGCCAGGTCTTCGAGTAAAGTCGCTTTAAGATGCGTGGACTTCAATTCCCAGAATTCCCCCACCAGGAGAAGGTGGCCATGTTTCTTCTCCTTGAATTTATTATTTTTTTTAAAAAAATGGAATGGAAACTTGGCTTTTTGGGGGCAAGGCAATTTTGTCCGATTTTGATAATCCACCACTGAGGTGAGGGAGAGCGGATCCTCCAGGTTCAGGAGGAGTCTACCACCAAGGGAAGCAGGAAAGCAGGCCGGAAGGGAGCAAATTACTAAATAAGCTTTCTGAGGATTGAAACAACGGGACGATTCTTCTTTTCTTCTCTTTCCCAGGTTCCTTGAAGTCCACCAGGATGTCCTGCCCACAGTACAAAGCAGGCACAGCAAAAGGGGGCGACACTGTAGCATTTGGGAACAACGCCGATGCAAAGGGGGGCAACACCTCAGCAGCAGGGAACCAAGCCTTTGCAAAGGGGGGCGACACCACCGCATACACCAACGCCTCAGCAACGGGGGGCAATACCTCAGCAACAGGGGCCTGTGCCAAAGCAGTGGGGGGCAACGTCACTGCACAGTAGTGACCACCTCAGCCATACTAACCCCAATATTAGCCTTACTACCCCGCTTGGTAGCCATACTACCCCCCCATGTCAGCCATTCTGCCCCCCTCCCCGGCAATGCTACCCCAAGCAGCAGGATCAAAACCCGAAATGCTGTTAAGAAGCTGTTGAAGGCAACGTCCGGAAGGGGGATGGAGAAAGACAAAGTCCATCTCTTGAGATCTTCCAACCTCAACCAACACGGAAGCCCACCAAGAAAACAAGGCCCCTGGGAATTGATGCTTCAAGACACCTTCCACGCAACTCCGGGGTGGCTTATTTCGTTGGCTTCTCGAAGGCCAACCCAACCACCGAAAGACCATACGGTTGGAGAACTCGGCAGCCAAAACCATCATGAGAACTTCCAAGAAGAACAGGGCTCTTGATCCTGGATCATGTCATCGTCTTCTCCTACCTTCCCCCTTCCTGGTGCCTTGCCCTGTGCTCTGCTTCTCTGCTGGCAAAATCTTATTAAAGTGCATGAATTAGCTGACATTGGAAAGTTGAATTTCTATGGGGCCATTGGGTGTGGGTGAGGAGGGAAACACAAGGGGGCAGGACAAGAAGCCTTGGTTGGTAATAAATCAAGGAGAGAAGGGAGAAACTCCCTAACAGTGGGGACACAGTGGAACAGCTTGCCACTAGAAGTTGTGAGTGCTCCATCACTGGAGGCTTTTAAGAAAATACTAGACAGTCACTTATCTGAAATGGAATAGGTTCTGTTTGAGCAGGGGGGTGGACTAGAAGACCTCCAAGGTCCTTTTCAATTCTATTCTATTCTATAAAAGATAAAACACTGTTGGGGGGGGGGAAGCAGATTTGGAACGATTTCTTTCCATATAAATATAATGTATTTATGCTGCAATATCATGTGACATAATTGTATGTGTTAGTGCAAAGTTTCCACCCTTTGCAAATTAAATCAAGAGAATAAAGGTAAAAGCAGTTCGGCGGTTCAAATCCCTAGTACTGGTCTCCGGTGTGAGAAGGGGGTTGGACTAGATGACCTCCCAGGTCCCTTCCAACTCTCTTACTGTTAAAAGCCAGACAGGCTGAAAATTCAAATCAGGATTTTTACACCTTAGATTAATATTTGGGGTGGGGAAATAGCTTTAAAAGTCACAGGTTTTTTTCACTCGCCTTCCTTTAGCAAACATATCACTCCAGCTAAACTGAAGAGGAAGCTCCTTTGCCTCCATATGGACTAGCTGCTTTGGGAACGGCTATATTTGGGGGGGGGAAATGGGTGCCAAATACCGCCCTGTTGTCGGTACTCATCAAAACAACCTTCATCGCTCCGCCGTTGTTCCAAAAAGAGTCTTAAGCGACGCTTTAAGCGACGCCTCCAAAATGATGCAATTTTGTCAACGTTGCAAACAGGCAGCTCCTGAGCCTAAGCAGAGTGCATTTCCTTCGGGAGCATTAGAAAAGCACTTTCAAAAGGTGGGAAAGAAAGAAATGCAAACTAGAACACTGGCCAAATTCATCCTTCCCTTCCTTTTAAGCGGGGGTCGTCCGAAAGCTTGAGGAAAAAAAAAAAAACCGAGTTAAAAACTCTTGCAAACTGATTTCCTTCAATGCCATTGGCCCATCAGCTCCTTCTCGTTCAACAGTTCCACGTCGGAGTCGTGGAGAAGCTTGGCGTTCTTGTGTTTGCGCGTCCTCTGGAAAAAAGCACAAAAAAGAACGACACCGATGCAATGAACTGGAGTGTGTCTTTGTTTGCAATCCTGGCATAAGGATATGTTTGTCAAGGAGACCGGCCTTGGAGGGCGGCTGGAGATGATGGATTGGCCTAACTAATTAACCAAGCTAAGATGGCACCAAAGACCCCACAGTTCTCCTCCTCCTCCTCCTCCTTTTCCTCCTCCTCCATTCCTTCTCCTTCTCCTCCTTCTCTTCTTCTCCTCCTTCTCCTTCTTCTTCTTTCTCTTCCTTTTCCTCCTCCTCCTCCTCTTCTTCTCCTCCTCCTCCTCCTTCTTCTTTCTCTTCCTTTTCCTCCTCCTCCTCCTCCTTCTCCTCCATTCCTTCTCCTTCTTCTTTCTCTTCCTTTTCCTCCTCCTCCTCCTCCATTCCTTCTCCTTCTCCTTCTTCTTTCTCTTCCTTTTCCTCCTCCTCCTTCTCCTCCTCCTCCATTCCTTCTCCTTCTTCTTCTCTTCCTTTTCCTCCTCCTACTCCTTCTCCTCCTCCTCCATTCCTTCTCCTTCTCCTCCTCCTCCTTCTCCTTCTTCTTTCTCTTCCTCCTCCTCCTCTTCTCCGCAACCCCTTCTCCCTTCTAGCACTGATGACATTACCTGGTTTGGCAATGAGATGTCCACAAGAAAACCGCCAAGCTCAGAGAGCACCAAGTCCTTTTCCTCCTCCTCTTCCACCTCCCCGAAAACCCCCACTCCCTTATCACACTGATGATGTTACCTAGTGGGGTCATGAAACATCTGCAGGAAGACCTCCGGGCTCAGAGAGCACCAGGGACCCCCACAGTTCAACCCTGAGCTACAGATCTTCTCCTCGGTCGAATATCCCCCTACCCCATGGCTGAAAATGAATTCAATCAAAGCTGAAAATGAATTTAAAAATTAAAAATCCCCCCTCTCTTCCAGGCCCTGTCTTCAGGCCAGACCTCACAATTATATCAGATATAATTATATAATTATAATTTATAATTATAATTATAATTATTAATTATCATTAATAACTTAATAGCCTATCATCAATCAATCAAGTAACAATCAACACTCAAGGTAAATAGATTATCAGCCATAGGGTTATTTGGGGCAGGTTTTGGGTGGGGTTGTCTCTACTCAAAGCCCAAGAAGTGGGCTTTTCTACCTCCATTGGCATCTCCTGATTCTTCTCATGATGTATTCCCACAACTTGTTCACCTACCCAAGTGAAATTCCTCCTTTGGACAAGATATATGGGTTTCTACAAAACTTCTATTTCTTGATAATCTCGTGACGTCCTTCTTCTGGTCCCTTCCCACCCACCTCCTCTTCTCCTTCACCCTTTTGACTTTCCATCAAAACCATCATTTCCCCAAAAAAAACTCAGATTACCTTGCTAGGGGTCAACTCCTTCTGAATTAGAGTTTTGAACTCGCTCTTCTTCAATGGCTCGGCGTCAGTGCACTTGCGTGGGGCCACCTTGGAGTTTCCCTCAATCATCTCGGTGAAGGCTCTGAACAGCCTGGACATCTTGGAGAATCCGGTGGTGGAGAAGAAAGGATGGGTGAAGGCTAAGGAGAAGAATTGGGAGTCAAGGCGATACAGAGGTCTTCTAATCTTCAATTTCCTCCCCCCCCCCCCCCGTGTGGACAACAAAGTGTCACACCTTCAGAGCTGCATCCTAAGGAAAGAGAGAGAGAGAGAGGTGGAGAACAAGAAGATGGAGCCAAGGTTGACTCATGCATGGCTTGCTCTGATCATCTATATACATCCTTGGGTGGTGGCCAAGCTTTGAAGATTAATGTCAAGGAACAATACAACCCCTTCTCATCTCTCGAGATGCCAGCCTTCTAAGAAGCTCAACCGGTCTTCTCCAAACTCAACGCCATGGCCAGGAATTCAACATCTGGGCTTAAGGTGAGTCGAGCTGGCCCAGCCTGTCTTCCTTCTAATCTAAATTCTGGGCACGGATGACCTACTTGAAGACATGGGGTTGTTTTCAAAGACGGTACACATCCAGACCTGTTGAGGGGATCAATTTTAAGCATCGATCTAATTATCTGGAGTTTGAGCAACAACTTTACGAGTGGGATGGCCGGAAGGATGGGATTGGGGGGAAAAAGGAAGAGAAAATCTGGAGAAAACCTTAAATACAGGTTATTCGAGTTTTATTTCTCTGCCAGGGCATTTGAATTATTTACACCAGGAAACGCTAACTATCGAAAGTTGGCTTTTAGAAGGAAAAGTACTTTGGATGTTTGCTTAGCTTCCTTTTCTTAATTCTTCTCAGGCTGTATATTGAGTTTCAAACAATAAAACCTTGCCCTGCTTGCTTGCAAGTTGCTATTAAGAGGAATAGAGGCATTGATGTAATTAGTGAGGAATAGAGGCATTAACATAATTAATGTAATTATTGCACATTAAATCCCAATATTAATTCTCACACCTCTGTGAAGAGATCTTCTGTGTATCTCGTATGGTGGCTTGCAGCTCCAGGAACCATCAAAAATTAAAAAAAAAATAATGCTTTGGGCTGATTATTTTCAATCAGGGGATGCCGTGAGGGCACTACAGGTAGTTCTCGACTTACAACCATTTGTTTAGTGACCGTTCAAAGTTACAACAGCCCAGTAAAAAGAGACTTAGGACCGTTTCTCACGCTGAATGGCTGTCGCTATTCACCCGTGTTCATGCGATTCAGACGCTTGGAAGATCGTGAACAATACGGCATTTATGAGAAACAATTGGAATTGGACAAAATATTGCAAGGAGCGGAAGGAAAAATGATTACTAAAATATACAATTTTCTTTTAAGATATAAAATGGAGGAAGAGACAGTAAAGGAGACAATGATAAACTGGGCCAGGAATTTTGGCTACAATATTGAGCTAGAACAATGGGACAAATTACAAGCTTACAATGGCGGTAGCCTATCAGGAGAATTTGTATAAAATGTTCTACCGATGGCATCTACCCCCAGCGAGATTGGCCAAAATGTTCCCAAACATATCCACTGAATATTGGAAATATAGATATAAATCTGGAACCTTTTATCATATGTGGTGGACATGTCCCAACGCCAGGAAATATTGGCTCAAAATTAAAGAATAGCTGGAAGGAATCACGGAACATGAGATAGAATTGAAACCAAAATTATTTCTATTAGGTATACTAGACCGGGGTGAAATGCTCCCGGTTCGGACCGGATCGCCTGATCCGGTAGCGATGGCAGCAGGTGGTTCAGAGAACCGGTACCAAAATCCCTGCCCACCCCCCATGCCCAGATGAGCCGCGCAATCATCAGAGACTTTTTTTTTAATTTTTAAAAGCATTTTTTCTACAACATCTTCGGATGAAAAAATGCTTTTAAAAGAAAAAAAAAGCCCCTGATGATTGTGCGGCTCAGCTGGGATCATCAGAGGCTTTTAAAAGCATTTTTTTCTACAACCTCTTCCGCCGAAGAGGTTATAGAAAAAATGTTTTTAAAAGGGGAAAAAAGCCTCTGCTGATCAGGCAAGTTCTGTACGATCATTTCTCTGCTCCAAAATCCACTGTTTCAACCCTAAATCCAAGCCCGATACACACACATGGCCCGTGACTTACCGAGATGTGGGGTGCAGAAGCTTCAAACCCGGCTGGGCGGAATGAAATTTTGCAAACCCCAAAAGGCATTAAGAGGCACTTCCTTGAACTACAAGAAGTGGGTGGCAGATCGTGGTGACCTAACCTGCTTTTGCAATGCTGCCCTGGCTTTGTTTATGGCGTTTTCTGATGGCATCGTGCCAGGAGGAATTGCAAAGAACACATCAGTCTAAGCAGGTGTTGCTTTAAAGGATAACATGGGTCTTCTCTTAGAAAGGGAAAGAAAACATGACCCTCGAACTTCAGGGACAAGAATATACAGGTAGTCCTTGGCTTATGATCGCAATCAAATCTCCATCGCTAAGCGAGACATGTGTGGGGTTTGCCTCGTTTTGCAACCTTGCTTGCCTCGATTGATAAATAAATCACTACACTTAAGTTAGTCACACGGTTGTTAAGCGAATCTGGCTTTCCCCCTGGACTTGACTTGTCAGAAGGGTGTCAAAGGGTGACCCCCAGGGACACTGCGACTGTCATAAATATGAGTCACTTGCTGAGCGTCTGAATTTTGATCACGTGACCACGGGAATTCCGTCATAAATGTGATAAACAGTCCTAGGTCCATGCCATTGTAACTTTGAACGGTCACTAAATGAAAAGTTGTGGGTATTAGGGTCTCGGGTGTTAGCAAAATTAATATTAGCACAACACACAAAATTAGAGGTGGATTTTCAGATGCTTTTCAAACCAACATGTGAACAGACGCAGAAGTGAGGCCAGATCTAAAGACAAAGGAAGTTTCTTGGATGGTGTCCACCAGATCCTGATTTATTCCTGGTTTTCTCAGCATATTTTGGGGTGACCAACCACGCTCGATCCGTCCGACAAACCACCACCACCCCAAACCCCACAAAATTCTTCTCCTTTGACGGTCCTCACAAGGAAGGTTTTCCAGTTCTCCAACTTTATTGACATAGTCTGAATTTTCACCGGTGCGACTGTGGGGATGAAAATGTGATTTAAATAGGGCAGTTTTGTGACTAACACACCCTTTTTTTAATCTGGAATTAGCAAGATAAACCAGATTTCAGTGAAGAATAAACTCATCTTGAACACGAGGTTTTCCTTAGGGAGTTATGGAATTTACAATATTTTTTTTCCCACTTAGATCTTGTCTCTTTCCATCTGTCGCAACCTTAAAATGTCTTTATCCCATAAACCCCCCTAAAAAAAAATCTCTCAAATCTTTGCAGATCTCTAATTATTTTTATTTACAATTCAGATGTTCCTGGGTTACCTTTGTAATGAAATACAATTCTCTTTCCACCCCGGGCTCAGCTCAGCCAGAAAGGGTGAGACCTAATTTAAGAGGAACAATAACAAAAGCACAACCGAGAAAAGTTTACATTCAACTTTAATTTAAGAGGAACAATAACAAAAACACAATGGAAAACAGAGGAATGATAACAAAAACACAAGCAAGACAAGGTACAAGAAGCATCGTGCATCCTGGCACGAGAGAAGAACGTGGGTTTAAAAGTCCTAAAAAGTCTGTCAAAAATCAAAATAGATTTGGTGCCACAGAAATGGATTAATTTGGGGAAAGGGGTCAGATTTAAAAAGGAGGATATGGAGGGTCCTTGGCTGAAGACAGCTGCTCTGCAGCTCAACTCATCAAGTTTCATTGCCATGCCAAGAAGGAAAATCAATTTATTTTCTTGATCAAGAAGGAAAATTCGTTCATTTTCTTCATCGAGAAGGAAAATTCGTTCGTTTTCTGGATCAAGAAGGAAAATTCATTCATTTTCTTGATCAAGAAGGAAAATTTGTTCATTTTCTTCATCGAGAAGGAAAATTCGTTCATTTTCTTGATCAAGAAGGAAAATTCGTTCATTCTCTTGATCAAGAAGGAAAATTCGTTCATATTCTTCATTTTGAAGGAAAATTAGATTATTTTCTTTATCGGTGAAGTTTATTGTCCACCACGATTCAAAACGTAAAGGGAATGCTTGTAGTTTGGCCATTTGGCAATCTCAGTGCGGATAAATTCTCCAGGAGATACCAGGTCACTGACATCGCTGTGGGCCAACAATATATATTCAGGTGACAGGTAGCCAATTTTCACCGAGAAATCAAGGAAGCACCTGAGAGCTTTCCAAGCTTTGTCTTCCGGGGATCGTTCTAGAAAAGAAACAGAACAGTCTGACTTTTCTCAGGGAGCCAGAGAAAATTTCATCCCGGTCTAAGGAGAGATCTGAGGATGTTGGTTTAATATAAACTGACTAGAAGTGAGTGGAGCTGAAACCTAGTTGTGTTTATCCAGCTCTCCATAGAAATCTGACAATCTCGGGGTTGAACTGAGGGGTCCTTGGTGCTTTCTGAGCTGAGTGTTTTTTTTTTGCAAATGTTTCATGACCCAACTAAGGAACGCCATCAGGGCTGGAAGGGAGGAGGAGGAGGAGGGAGAAAGGGGAGGAGAGGAGAGGAAAGGGAGGGAAGCAGAAATGAAAGGGAGGGGAGGGGGAGGAGAGGAAGGGGAGAAGAAAGGAAAGGGAGAAGAGAAGGGGAGGAAAGGAAAGGAAAAAGGGAGGGGAAGGGAGGGAGGGAGGGAGGGAAGAAGAGCTGTACTGTGGAAGTGTTTTCTAACTAGGGATTGCAATGAACTTCAGGCTGGTGCTTGGAGTGTTTTCCTGAAGGATATTTTAACTTCTCAAAGGAAGGAGCTCTGGAGGTGACCTGCCCTTCCACAATTTTCATGAGGCATCCCACGCAGAGCACAAGGGTGGGGCCCTGCAGAAACTCGACTGAGGTTGTGGCTTGCTGGCATCCTGCTTTAACCTCATGTGTGTCAGGACCCAGTGAAATTTCCAGGTTGCTCAACTTCTCCCAAACTTCCTGGTCCTTCAAGGAGGGGAGGAAGGAGATGCCAGCAGGACCGACATGACACTCAGCTCATCAGGCCAAGCATAATAACAGCCGAAACTCAGCTTGCCACAAACAAACTGTGGCTTGCACACCAGAGTGGGCAAGCAAAGCTGGCCAACTGGCAGTTCCCCCCCCCCTTAATCAGTTTGGAAGGAATCAAGTTGAGAAAGAAGATATTTTTGCCTCTGGGGTGAAAAAATTCCCCAAGGCCCAAATATTATGGCAGTCGTGGTTTAGTTTGATTTGCAATTGTGTGTCAATTTTGCTTTTCATGGTGGTTCGGATGTACTTAGTTTCAGGGGTGGGCTTCAAAAATTTTAACAAGGGGTTCTCTGCCCGGTTGCTGGGTGGGTGTGGCCATGGTGGGCGTGGCCTAGTCGGCCTTCTGCACTATGAGGGGGGGAGAGTTTTTTCCCTCCCCGGGCTCCAGATGCTTTCCTCGAGCCTCCAGGAGGGTGAAAATGGCCTCCCCAGGCTCCAGAGGCCCTCTGGAGGCCAGAAATGGACCTTTCCGGCCTTCCCGAACTGCTCATAGGCCCGTTTTTTGCCCTCCCTGAGCCTCTGTGCACATCCTGCACTTACCTGCATCCAAAACGGGCTGCATGGGGACTCCTGGGAGGGGCGGGGAGGGGTCAGGGGTTCAGCCAGAATTTGGGGGTTGTCCAAACTGCACAGAATCTTAGCTAGAGGCTCTCCCGAACCCCAGCTTGCTTAGTTTCCTATTCTGTTTCCTTCCAGAGCGTCTGGTCGTGTTGGGAAGGCAGGATAGAAACCTCATAAACAAATAATGTGTGAAAATCCTCCTAATGACCAGCAAGGTGGACTGGACTTCATGAGGGAACAAAACCACTGCTCCAAGGTTGCTCACTGGAGTAAAACATCTCCCAGTCCAATTGCAACTTTCCTAGGCACTGTGAAACTTTCCCTCCCATATCCTCCGACCATTGCTTTCCCTCTCGGGTTATTTGATGATTCAGGTTAAGTTTTAATGGCAGCCTGCCCCTAAGCCTGGAGGCTCTGTATATTCCCTGCGATGACTAACAAAGGATTTCTTCTGAAGTTGTGGACAAACTTACCCACAAAAGTGCCGATGAAAGCAATCCCCAAGGAGAGGTCGTTGTAGCCATAGGTGTGGGATCCTTCATTGCGCCAACCCCGTCCTTCGTACACATATCCGTCCTCACCGATCAGGAAACTGGAGGGAGGGAGGGAGGGAGTTGGAAGAAAAAGAGAAGGAAGGAAAGGAAGAAGGAGGAAGAAGGAGGAAGGAGGAAGGAGGAAGGGGAAAGGAGAGGAGGAAGGGAGGAAAAGGAAGGAAGGAAAAGGAAGGAGGGAGGGAGGGAGGGAGGAAAGGGATAGGTTGGAGGAAGGAAAGGAAAGGAAAGGAAAGGAAAGGAAGGAACGAAGGAACGAAGGAACGAAGGAACGAAATAGGGTTAGAGGAGGAGGAAAGAAGAAAGGAAGGAAGGGAGGGAGAGAAGGAAGGAAGGAAGGAAGAAAATAGGGTTAGAGGAGGAGGAAAGAAGAAAGGAAGGGAAGGAAGAGAACAAAAGAAGGAAGGAAGGGAAGGAAGGGAAGGAAGAGAAGGAAGGAAGAAAATAGGGTTAGAGGAGGAGGAAAGAAGAAAGGAAGGAAGGGAAGGAAGGAAGGGAAAGAAGGAAGAAAATAGGATTAGATATAGATATGTCTTTTCCATCCAGCTACATGGCTGATCTCAAAAACATTAAGCAAGACTTAAGACCAGAAAACATCAGGTTTGTCGGCCGGACTAGGAAAGTGGAGCAAACGTTCCAGGAAGAACCTGCCTCATTGTTTAAAACAACAATAATAACAACAAGGATAATAACATAGCTGAGCACATTCATGAAATCCTCAGGCGTTTCCCTGAATTTTTATCCGGAAGGCCCTTAATCCAGGAGGACATCTCGTTCCCCGCCTCACCTGTAGGCGATGTCGCACCATCCCTTCAGGTTCATGTGGTAGTTCTGCATCATCTTGACTTCGTTGTGGCAGTCGGCGTGAGTCCGACAAGAGTTGCCGGCGGTGTGGATGATGACCACGTACTCGGGCGGGACATCCCTCAACGGTTGGGAGCAGTTGGCCACCTTGGCTCCCCATTTCGAGGGGGTGATGAGTCGGAAACAACCTGTGGCTGGAGAAACGGAAGGAGATGGAAATGAGGAGAAGGAAGGAAGGAAGGAAGGAAGGAAGGAAGGAAGGAAGGAAGGAAGGAAGGAAGGAAGGAAGGAGATGGGAATGAGGAGAAGGAAGGAAGGAGATGGGAATGAGGAGAAAGAAGGAAAGAAGGAAGGAAGGAAGGAAGGAAGGAAGGAAGGAAGGAAGGAAGGAAGGAAAGAAAGAAGGAAGGAGATGGGAATGAGGAAAAGGAAGGAAGGAGATGGGAATGAGGAGAAAGAAGGAAAGAAAGAAGGAAGGAAGGAAGGAAAGAAGGAAGGAGATGGGAATGAGGAGAAAGAAGGAAGGAAGGAAGGAGATGGGAATGAGGAGAAGGAAGGAAGGAAAGAAGGAAGGAAAGAAGGAAGGAAGGAAGGAGATGGGAATGAGGAGAAGGAAGGAAGGAAGGAAAGAAGGAAGGAAGGAAAGAAGGAAGGAAGGAAGGAAGGAGATGGGAATGAGGAGAAAGAAGAAGGAAAGAAAGAAGGAAGGAAGGAAAAAAAACAGAATAACAGAATAAAAGTGTGGGAGGGACCTTGGAGGTCTTCTAGTCCAACCCATTGCTCAAGCAGGAGAGTCTATACCATCCCAGATAAATGGTTGTCCAATCTCTTCTTGAAAACCCTCCAGTGATGGAGCATTCACAACTTCTGGTGGCAAGTTGTTCCACTGGTTAATTGTCCTCACTGTCAGGAAATTTCTCCTTACTTCTAAGTTGCTTCTCTCCTTGATTAGTTTCCATCCGTTGCTTCTTGTCCTGCCCTCAGGTGCTTTGGAGAATACGTTGACTCCCTCTTCTTTGGGGCAGCCCCTGAGATATTGGAAGACTGCTATCATGTCTCCCCTGGTCCTTCTTTTCATCAAACTAGACATACCCAGTTCCTGCAACCGTTCTTCATATGTTTCATCCCTTAATCCTCTTTGTTGCTCTTCTCTGCACTCTTTCTAGAGTCTCCACATCTTTTTTACATTGTGGCAACCAAACCTGGATGCAGGATTCCAACTGTGGCCTTACCAAGGTCATATAAAGCAGCACCAACGTTGATCCTTGAGTTTTCAGTTGGGTAGCTCTTTCCTCAACGTCATTCCCTTGGTTTGGTTCGCCTCATTTTCCTCTGAAATTCAACCTAGTTTTTCTCCCTTTCATAGCTAGAAAATCAGCTCCTAATCCATTTAGGATCCGAGATGGTTTGGAAACTGACTTGGGCAGAGGACAGATTTTTGACCAAATTTAGATCTTCGTCTTGGAGGATTGCAAGACTGTTGACCACAGATGTGAGTCCTACACCCGAGGGCCATTGCTCATGATAGGTAGATGATGCTCTTCAATGTGGAGGAAGGTTATATGGTACAGCCCTCATTATATGGAGGGCTGTACCACGTACCCCTATCTGTAGCCGAACAAGCTTGGGGGGCTTACCTTGAGACAGAGAGGATAAGATCAAAAAAGAGATCTTCAACGTGACCATTTTCTCCCGATGCTGGTAGCCCTTGAGGTCTTCTAAAAAGAACAAGATGTTTTGGGATGATCAAAAGTGGTCTCAAGCCGAGCGCCAAATTTTTGGAACTGCCCGACCAGAAAAACAACATCTCTTCGCTTATCTATACACCACCACCTTTTGCTCAATATTTATTTTTAAGCCTAAATGTGGGTCAAAAAAAAAAATGTTTAGGAGCAGAAGTTCTCCAACCAGCTTTCTTGCGACCGCCTGAAGACTTCTGCTGGAGTCTACAACTCATTTGGGCTAATGGTAGGGCTGGCCTGCTCATTTTTACTTATGTTGTAAGTAAGAGGTTCCTCTGGAGACCTTCGAATTTTAATCAGATGTCTCGTGGAATGGAACTACGGAGATGTGATCCCAGTTACTCATCCTTGTGCCTTAAATTAGTAGTTATCTTGTTATTAAATTTGGGACATCCCTCTCTCTCCCTCCCTCCCTCTCTCCCTCCCTCTCTCTCTCTCCCTCCCTCCTTCTCACTCTCTCTCTCTTTCTCTCTCTCTCTCTCATCTATCATCTGTCTCTCTCTCTGCCTTATATCTTATCTATTATCTCTCTCTCTCTATCTCTCTATCAATCTATCTATCTATCTATCTCTATCTCTATCTATCTACCTACCTACCTACCTAAAGATAAAGGTAAAGGTTCCCCTCACACATACATGCTAGTCGTTCCCGACTCTAGAGGGCGGTGCTCATCTCCGTTTCAAAGCCGAAGAGCCAGCGCTGTCCGAAGACGTCTCCGTGGTCATGTGGCCGGCATGACTCAACGCCAAAGGCGCACGGAAAACGCTGTTATTACCTTCCCACCAAAGGTGGTCCCTATTTTTTCTACTTGCATTTTTTACACGCTTTCGAACTGCTAGGTTGGCAGAAGCTGGGACAAGGTACGGGAGCTCACCCCGTTACGCGGCACTAGGGATTCGAACCGCTGAGCTGCCGACCTTTCGATCGACAGGCTCAGCGTCTTAGCCCCTGAGCCACCGCGTCCCTTAAAGTGCGATAGATAGATAGATAGATAGATAGATAGATAGATAGATAGATAGATAGATAGAGATAAAGATAGATATAGATATAGATATAGATATAGATATAGATATAGATATAGATATAGATATCTGAATATATATCTGAATATGTATCGTCTATCATCTATCGGTCTGTATCTATCTATCATCTATTTTCTATCTATTATCTATCTATATCTCTCTAACTATCTCTATCTATCTATCTATCTATCTATATCTATCTATCTCTATCAATCTATCTATCTATCTATCTATCTTTATCTACCTACCTATCTCTATCTATCTATCTATCTATCTATCTATCTACCTACCTATCTATCTATCTATCTATCTATCTATCTATCTTTATCTACCTAACTATCTACCTTCAAATCTTAGTAAACATCTCGTGCAATGAAACCAGGCTGAGGAGATCTTGGTTGCTCCCCCTTGTATCTTCCATCAGTATCTGTGTTGTTGTTTGTTTTCACTCACCACCTGTGTGCCTCACGGCAGCCAGGAAGTCATTTTTCAATCACGCAAGCCGAAAGAAGTTGTCTGGGATGGCGAGAACACCACAACTCCACCGCAACCACTTCCCCTCAGCTCCTAAGAGGAGGACAAGCGAGGTAGCAAGGCAGGGGCTGAGGCGGTGGTGTCTTTTCCCACCTACCTGTGTGCAGGTGTCTTCTGGATGAGCGACGTGGCCTTCTTCTACCACTCCGGTTTCTACCCCGAGGCCGACGGTGAAAAATGCTGTTCAAACGAAGGAGAAGGAAGACGACAACTCAAGTTGTGAGATCCAGCCAGGAGGACGTGTCGAAATCTCCTCCGACGTGGAGATGGATGATCCTGGCTCAGAATAGGGCACTTCTCCCTTTTCAACCTGGATTATACAAGAGACCCCTCTGAGTAACACCCCTCCCTCCCCGTTGTGACAATTTAGACATGACTTATGGGTTGTGCAAGGGTTTGGAGAAGGGAGGGCGTTGTCGCAGCTGAATTGTTGCACACACAGACAGAAACTTTTGCACGCCCACGGAGGCCCGAAACACGCTACGCCCGAAAAAGGCAGGAGAGCGAAGCACGGCGGTTGCGTTCACACAACAGGCTGGTGTGCCAAGAAGGAGGAAAACCCATCCGTAGATAATGGCAGAAATCCCCCCAGAAGCCCCAATGAATCCTGAAAGAGGCTTGGGGGGGCTCTTTATGGGGTCCCAGAAGCAGGTTGTGTGTTTTAAGTTAGAGGGCTTGACCCCCTGAGGGTAGATAAACGGATTTTATTTTAATTTTTTTAAATGCAGGGTGTGGTGTTAAAATTGGAGATCCCGTAAAATATTCAGATTTCATGTGTTTATTTAAATTTAATACAGAAATAGCTTTACTTCTCTCCTCAAGCTCTGTTTCCTTTCCTTCTCCTCTCCTTCCTTCCTTCTTTCCTCCTTCCACCCCTTCCTTCCTTCTTCCCTCCCTCCCTCCCTTTCCTCCCTCCACCTCCCTTTCCTCCCTCCCTCCTTCCTTCCTTCCTTCTTTCCTCCCTCCCTCCCTTCATTCTTTCCTTCCTTCCTTCCTCCTTTCCTCCCTCCCTCCCTCCTTTCCCTTCCCTTCCCTTTTTTTGCAAATTAGCTGATGCATTTCCATTCAGCCACAAGAGGGCAGCCGAAACCACAAAATTACAATTTAGAACTATTTATTTTTATTTATTTATTTTTTTCCTTTCCCATTTTAATTCCACTCTAAAAGAAAATTTCTCTCTGCCTCCCTCAACCAAACCAACTGCAAACCCTTCCGGTTATTCCTTTGAATCCGTGTTAACCTGGGCAGCTGGCTTTTCCTTTCAGATGGTGCCAGTTGGCTGCCGGTTGGGGCCATCGGTGGAGTTAGAAGGTCTCACCAAAGTTCATCTAGCTCAGCCCTTGGGGGCTCCCTAGGTGGCTGGCGGCTCCCTAGGTGGCTCAGTGGCTAAGACGCTGAGCTTGTCGATCAGAAAAGTCGGCAGTTCGAATCCCTAGTATAGGTCTCCTATGTGAGTAGGGGGGGTGGACTAGATGACTGTCAGGGCGCTGATTAATCCCATTCTGCCTTTGGGATAATCTCACCTTGATTAAGAGGGGCGGATCGAAACCATCCTCTGCTACCAGGTGTCAGGGCCCTGATTAATCCCATTCTGCCATTGGGATAATCGCACCTTGATTAAGAGGGGCAGATCGAGACCTTTCCTTGCCAGCATACTTTAAGAAAACAAACCGGAAGATATATCTTCTAAGAAAACTCATTTATTTGTTATAAAGAAAATAAAAACATCTCACTAATCTAATAGTTACATTTTTATAACGGACCAGCCGGACCATGCGCAGTTTAGCTTACTGATAAGAATTCTTGGCAAGCTACGGAAAGTCTGATAGTCCAGAAATGAGAGCTCAGCTGGTAAATTAAAAAAAAAAACGCAGTGACAATGACCTCCAAGATCCCTTCCAACTCTGTTACTAATATGCAGGACAAGCTGTTAACTGGCCTCAAGAGGGCTGGCCTCTTTTTTTAATAAAAGCTCCAGATAAGGGGAGGAAAAACCCCAACTTTATGATTTGTTTATTTATTAATTACCTTTAGATGCCTTCATTAGCCAAGTTTGAGAAACACGGCTAATCTATTTGTGATCCGCCCCCCCAAAAAATTAAACCTTGAAGAAAAATGACAAGAAAACCACTTTTTTTTTTGGAGAAGATTAAATTCTTTATTGTGGCCCCACCCCCAGGACTGAGCCCAGAAGGCTTGTGTGGGAGGGGTAAACCATGGTTAGGTTAGAGAGGAGAAGCAATCCGGTGACAATCTCGGCCTCCCGTCGCTGCCTCAGTGGCCATGGTGGAACTTGTGATGGCACGCGATCAAGAACTTGCCGATGAAAGCCATGGTTTCCTCGAAGGACAGCTGCCCGTCCTTATTCTGGTCTAGCTCCTTGAAAAGGCGGTCGATGTCTTCCGGTTTCTTACTTCCCTGCAAATCCCAAAAGAAGAAAAAACGTGTTTTTTTTTAAAAAAAAAAAAACTGATAGGCCTGGAAAAACTAGCTCTCTCTTTTTTTCTTTTTTTTTTTTTTACATTTCATTTCTTTTTATTGTATAAAATACCCCCAAAAAAACCAGAAAAGAAAAGAGGAAATTAAGGGAAGGAAAGAGGACGGGAAAAAGGAGGTGTGGAATACAAGAGGGAAGAGGGAAAAAAGAAAGAAAGAATGTCCAACTCTTCCTAACACGGTACAAAATAAACCTCAATTTTTTTTTGTTTTTAATGTATAACTAGTCATTTCTGGAACACCAAATCTTTCGAATCCACAAAAGCAAAAGCAAATTTCATTTTTGTTTTATTTATTTATTTATTTATTTATTTATTTATTTATTTATTTATTATATTTCTATACCGCCTTTCTCCCGTAGGACTCAAGGCGGTGTACAGTCAAGAAAAATATAGACACGCAAACATCATAAAATTGCTAATTAAAATTATTACTTAGTTTGGTCAATTAAATAAAACCCAGAATTAGATAACATTTAAAAAATCTTTCTTTCTTCACAAGCCCAAATTCCCAGAAGTGATACTCAAATAAGAACATTTTTTCCTCTTTAAATAAAGTATTTAATTTAACCATTCCTACTTTATCTTCCTCGCTATGGAAATAACGTGTATTTTTCTATTTGGACCCAGTAATCTTTTTGAACTGTCACCATTTTTATTTACAAAAATTGATGGTATTCTTTCGAATTTCTTCAGCCTTCCTGAAACCATTTTTTTTCCTTTCTTTCTGCCTTTCTTTCACCTTCCTCTAGCTTTTTCTTTTTTTGAGAGAGAGAGAGAGAGAGAGAGAGAGAGAGAGAGAGAGAGAGAGAGAGAGAGAGAGAGAGAGAGAAAGCATCATTGGGAAAAAAAACTCAGAAGGTGATTCATTTAATGACCAGTGCTGGAGAAAAACAGGATTTATGACCAGTCCTATTGAGGGCTTGAGGACTACAGTTAGTCCTCGATGTACGACGGTTCATTTAGTGACTGTTCCAAGTTACAACGGCACTGAAAAAAAGGGACTAAAGCCCGTTTTTCACACTTAACGACCGTCGCAGGATCCCCGTGGTGATCGGATCAAAAATCCAGATGCTTGGCCGCTGTCTCATCGTTACAACGGTCGCAGTGCCCGACAAGCAAAGTCAACGGGAAGCCAGATTCGCTGAACTAACTTACGAACTGCAGCAATTCACTTAACAACGGAGGCAAGAAAAGTCGTGAAACAGGGCGGAACTCCCGAAACAACTGAAATTTGGGGGTCCATTCCGGCCATAAGTCAAGGACTGCTTGTATCTTTGGCTTTTTTTTTTTTTGCTCTGTTTTTGCCCCAATTTTGGAAGCCGTATGAAAAGGATCGCCAACAAGAGGGGAGAGGCTGCAGTACTCTCAGCAACCACCAGAGGCCGCCACCACACCGTTCCGTGAAGCTCCTGTTGATGCCTTCAAAAATTCTTCTTACCAAAAGTGGATTTTTTTTCTTCAAGAAGCAGCTGGACTTCCTGTTTTTTTTTTTTTTCTTTGAAGACGTTTCGTTTCTCATCCGAGAAGCTGCTTCTGCTGCTCCTCACCAGCCAGCCAGAGCTGAAGAAGCTTCTTGGATGAGAAGCAAAACATCTTCAAAGAAAAAACCCAGAAAATCCAGTTGCCTCTTGGAGAACAAAAAGAACCTTTGGGACAACTGTGACTTGAATGATGGAGACCCTCTGTACCTTCTTGACTTCCAAGCTTCTTGCTACCTTCTGCTTCTTGACTTCCAAGCTTCTTACCTTACATGGTGGACCTCCATTTCTACCTTCTCCCCTTCCCTTCCCTTCCCCTGCTATCCTTGCCCAATTTTTTAAAAAATATTCAAAGGAAAATAAAGTTTTTCTCTCACCTGAATGAAGTTTGGAAACTGTTCCTTCAGCATCTTGGCAAACTCGGCCTTGGAGAGCATGTCATAGTGTTCCTTTTGAATGGAGTATTTGTGAAAGATGTCGATGATGCATTCGCAACATTTTTCCATCTGAGTTTGAGACATCTCGATTCGCTTCTTCTGATCTGGGAATATCAAAATTATCGGTCACTTAATTGCAAGGCAGGGAGTGCTATTCAGCAGGTTCTGACAGGTTCTGGAGAATCGGTAGTGGAAATTTTGAGTAGTTCAGAGAACCGGTAGCGGAAATTTTGAGTAGTTCAGAGAACCGGTAGCGGAAATTTTGAGTAGTTCGGAGAACCGGTAGCGGAAATTTTGAGTAGATCAAAGAACCGGCAAATACCACCTCTGGCTGGCCCCAGAGTGGGGTGGGAATGGAGATTTTGCAATATCCTTCCCACTGGAGTGGGGAGGGAATGGGGATTTTGCAATATCCTTTCCCCTGGAGTGGGGAGGGAATGGGGATTTTGCAATATCCTTCCCCCTGGAGTAGGGAGAGAATGGGGATTTTGCAATATCCTTCCCCTGGAGTGGGGTGCAAATGGAGATTTTGCAGTATCCTTCCCCCGCCACGCCCACCAAGCCACGCCCACCAAGCCACACCCACAGAACCGGTAGTTAAAAAAATTTGAATTACACCACTGGCGTAAGGCAAGGTTGGAAGCCTTCAACTCACCCGAACCTCTAAGCACAAAGGGTTGAATTTAAGCTTCCATTGTTGATCTAATTTTTTCCCTCCTTTTTCCTTCCAAATAGTCCTTCCCAATATTATAGAAACTTATCAATAATAGAATTAACTCCCATTAAACAGGACGTGAGAACAATCAGTCGAGGAGTTACCTCCATTTGCTCCATTGATGGAAAGCTTTCAAGGATAAACTGGACAACCATTAGGGCAGGGATGAAATAAGATCTCCTTGCTTTTGGGGCAGAGGGGGTTGGTCTAGATGACCTTCAAAGTCCCTTCAAGCCCCCAGGACTCTACGATATTATGATTCTACGATTCAACAGTTGAGATGGTTTTCCAATGGTCCAGTTGGGCCATTCAGAAAAGAGATCGGCTGATCTCCAAGATGAAAGGAGGAGGAGAAGTTGATTCTGACCACGATCTCCACACCTTCTTGGGCCCCTTTCCCCTTTATTGGCACGTGGCCAGTAGAAAGTGTGGCCAAATCTGGTTTGTGTCAAGAAGAGACCTTAACAACAACAACAACAACAAAAAATAAGAGAAGGTCCGTAGGTCTAGAAAGAAGGTGGGCTTGTAATGAAGACCCAAAGGGCTATTGCTTCATCCTTGTTGGACCTTCAAAAGTCTTTCGGAAGCCCTGGCTCTCCCCCTGGAGCTCAAGCCACTAGTCCTCATGCTTCTCCCTTAACTGCTTGGCCCGGAGATCCAGCCTCGAGGCTGCAAAGCTGAAGTTCTCCAGATCTTCAGACCCAAAGCTGAATCTGAGGTTCTCACCCCAGATTCTGCTGTCTTGGACAAGGCGACCCCTCCTTAAAATCTCTCAGGTTCTGGATCTAGAGAGGTTTCGAACCCCTGGCCAAGAGCCCTCCCAAGGTCTCCCCACTTACCTCCGACGCCGATCGGTAAGAGAGCAAGGTTGGTCTCGGATGGGGTTGAGGAGCCTTCCGACGGTGTCCCCTTTTATAGGCCCGTCCAGAGCTCGGACCCCACCCTCCCTTGCGAAATTGTCCTCTGCCCCCCACCCCTCACACACACACACTTGGCCCTCGCAATATTCTTCTCTTGCTCAAGATCTCTCAGGGCTTCGTCAATCGTTTGACTTCCCTGCAGGTAAATTTCCTGGACAACAACCGATTCTGCATTGTCACTATGTCGTCCTAAGATTGTGTGTAAACACATTGATTCTTTTGCTCAATCTCTGTAAACATCAAGACTGGGTCTGCTTTTATCCTTCTTCTTTTCTTCTTCTTTTCTTCTTCTTCTTCTTCTTCTTCTTCTTCTTCTTCTTCTTCTTCTCTCTCCTTCTCTCCTCCTCTTCCTCCTCCATCTCCTCCCCTTCCCCTCCCTTTCTCTTTCTTTTCTCCTTTTCTTTCTCCCATATTTTTTCTCCTTCTTCTCCTCTTTTGCCTTCTCCATCTTCTCCTTCTCCTTTCCTTCTCCTCCTCATCCTCCTTCTTCTCTTTTGCCTTCTCCCTCCTTCTCTTCCCCTTCCCCCCCTTTCTCTTTCTTTACTCCTTTCCTTTCTCCCATTATTTTTCTCCTTCTTCTCCTCCCTCTCTTTCTCCTCTCCTCCTCCTCTTTTGCCTTCTCCTCCTTCTCCTTCCCCTTCCTCCCTTTCTCTTTCTACTCCTTTCCTTTCTCCCATTATTTTTCTCCTTCTTTTCCTCCCTCTCTTTCTCTTCTCCTCCTCCTTCTCTTTTGCCTTCTCCTCCTTCTCTTCCCTTCCCCTCCCTTTTCTTTCTTTGCTCCTTTTCTTTTTCCCATTATTTTTCTCCTTCTTCTCCTCCTTTGCCTTCTCCACCTTCTCCTTTCTCCTTTCCTTCTCCTTCTCCTCATCCTCCTTCTTCTCTTTTGCCTTCCCCTCCTTCTCTTCCCTTCCCCTCCCTTTCTCTTCTTTACTCCTTTCCTTTCTCCATTATTTTTCTCCTTCTTCTCCTCCCTCTCTTTCTCCTTCTCCTCCTCCTTCTCTTTGCCTTCCTCCTTCTCTTCCCCTTCCCCTCCCTTTCTCTTTCTTTACTCCTTTCCTTTCTCCCAAGAAAGAAGGAAAGGAAGGGAAAGGGTAGGTAGGCAGGTAAGGAATCAAGGAAAGAAGGAAGGAAACAAGGAAACAAAGAAAGAAAGAAGGAAAAGGGTAGGTAGGTAGGTAAGGAAGAAAGGAAACAAGAAAAGGGAAAGAAGGAAAGAAAGAAAGGGTAGGTAAAGGAAGGAAGGAAGGAAGGAAGGAAGGAAGGAAGGAAGGAAGGAAGGATCTGCATAGTGCAACTTTCTTTAAAAAAAAAAAACAACCAAGAATATTTTGGGAGGAGAGCTTTTGGGGTTCACCCTTTTTCTGCACCCTTTCTCCAATCAGGCCAAGGGCCATTTCCTGGCTGTTGTCTTCTCTCGTAACCAGTTTGGTGAAAACCAGAGAGAGATTCTGGGTGCAAAAAAAGAGAGAGAGAGAGAGAGAGAATGCAGCCAAGCTGGAAATGTGAGCTGGCTGCGAGTTCCAGGGTCACTCAGCAAGTTCGAATTCCGAGCATCTGGAAAAGCTTGGATGGAAAAAAAAACATTATTATTATTATTATTATTATTATTATTATTATTATTATTATTATTATTAGTCTTTTAATTTATTTATTTCATTTATTTCTTTCGTCAAGCATGCATTAGGTAACAGATGCAAGTAATCGGTCTTAATCGGTTTTTAAATGATTGGGGTGTTTTAATCTGTCTGGGCCAAATTGTTTAATTCGATTTTACTTTGTTTTTAAATTTTGTATCTATGTTTTTTTACTGTTTGGCTGTTCACCGCCCTGAGTCTTTCAGGAGTAGGGTGGTATATAAATCAAAGAAAGAAAGAAAGAAAGAAAGAAAGAAAGAAAGAAAGAAAGAAAGAAAGAAAGAAAGAAAGAAAGAAAGAAAGAAAGAAAAAAAGAAAGAAAGAAAAAAAGAAAGAAAGAAAGAAAGAAAGAAAGAAAGAAAGAAAGAAAGAAAGAAAGAAAGAAAGAAAGAACATATTTATGAAAACATGAAATGGGTACGTACAAAAGGGAACATTAGACACGTAGGTGCGCTTATGCACGCCCCTTAGAGACCTCTTAGGAATGGGGTGAGTAACAGAGTTACTAATGCCTGGAACGCACTACCTGACTCCATGGTTTCTTCCCCAAACCCCAAAACTTTAACCTTAGACTGCCTACTGTCGACCTCACCCCATTCCTAAAAGGTCTCTAAGGGGCGTGCATAAGCGCACCAACATGCCTACCATCCCTGTCCTAATGTCCCTTTTATACGTATCCATTTCATGTATTCATAAATATGTTTATACTCTGGGGAAAAAAATTGGAAGAGAAATTATACATAAAACAAAATCCGCCGCAAATAAAGAAAATCAGTACAAAATCTTCTATCGGTGGCACATAGCCCCAACAAGACTTGCAAAAAATGCACCCCAATCAAAACCCTAACTGCTGGAAATGTAAAAAAAAATGCACCAGGTACCTTTTCTCATGTATGGTGGCCTTGCCCAGAAATCAAAAAATACTGGATTAAAATACAAAAAACGTTTCAACGAAATTACGCATGGCCCAATAGAACTGAATCCTGAACTGTTTCTTCTGGGGATCATTAACGGAAAATATCCTAAAAAGATTAAATATTTGATCATTCGTATTATTTATAGCAGCGAGAATTGTACTCGCCCAAGCCTGGAAAATGACAGATTGTGTAATAATCCGGAAAATTTTTGAGTGTGCAGAAATGGACAAACTTACTATAGAATTAAATGAGAAGGAAGACTTGGAATATTACTCAACCTGGGAAAACTGGTATCAATGGATAGAGAATAAAAATAGGAAATATATAGGTCAAAATAAGACATAAATTGTGGTAACGTGCAGCTGCTTATAATACGATCGCAAAGGTCATTTATGTAAAGTATGAAGAGTGTAGGTCCTAAAACCGCTGTTAATCGATGATTGGATAGGGCGCTCCCTATTTTGATTACTTGTTGCCTGTTTGATAGGAACGCAGTTTATCCACTTATGCAGGGATCCGGAAATGCTGTAAAATTTTAGTTTTAGAAGTAATTCTAAAGTTCTCCTTGAAAAGGAGAACTATTTTGCCTTTGACTTCCTTTCTGAAACCGTTGGAAAATTCCAGTTTCCAAGGACACGTTTTAATTCTTTTAAAGCCACTCGCCGTTCTTCGTTTTGTAAGCAAATATATAAATACGGAAACATTTTGGTCTAAATCTTCTAGGTTCCTTGCATTTTTTTTGCTTTGAGCTGGTCGGGCAGTTTGAGTTAAGAATTTCTTCTTCTTTTTTTTCCATTTAACATTTTTAGTCGTTTATCCAAGTATAAAATACAAGGGGGGAAAAAAGCTGGGAAAAGAAAGAAGAGAGGAATATAGTGTAACGGGAGGGGAGAGGAAAAAGAAGGACAAAGTCACCGATTTCCGAGTCTCTTTTTTAGCGTAGTAGAAGATAACATACATTGCAACCACAACTCTTGTGCTTTTGCACAACAGTATGCACAAGCCATTTCTATAACAATATAATATAATTTTATGTGTGTTGGACTTGGTCTTTGGGTGTTAAGTGAATTTCGTTGTATGGGTATACTGTGTATACATGTACAATGACAATAAAGTTCTTCTTCTTCTTCTTCTTCCTCTTCTTCTTCCTATTATTATTATTATTATTATTATTATTATTATTATTATTATTAACAAGTTTACAAAAACAAAATTTCATATGTTTTCCCTCTGTTGTAAGCACAAAATCCAGAAAGCGATTCCAAAACAGAGACAAAATTTTTTTTTTATATATTATATATATATATATATATTATATATATATATATATTATATATATTATATTTATATATATATATATATATATATATATATAATTATGCATACATACGTACATACATATCTGTAAAGAATATATATATTCTTTTCTTTGGATAAAAGAATCAGTTTGAGTTAAGAACAGAGGTTGGGGAAATAATTTTTTTTTCCCTCTTCCCTCCTCATGTCTCTTTCCTTTTGTGCTATCTCATTTTTAAGATTTATTTTATTTCAAATTTATATACCGCACCTTCTCCCAAGGGACTCAGGGCGGTGTACAGCCAGATAAAAACATACAATACAAACATTAAGAACAATTAAAAGAATATATATTTGGCCCCAGTTTAAAATGACAAACCAATTAAAAAATTAAAATTTAAAAATATGTTAAGGCAGCCCGGCTTGATGAAAAAAGAAAGTTTTAAGGGCACGGCGGAAGGCACCAAGGTCTTGGATGGTTTTTTAAAATTCTTTTATTAAATAGAAAATGCTCCAGAATTCGTACATTCTGTTTTTTGTGATCTACAACTGCCGCTGACCCGTAGCTTTGTGGCTACATGTACAAAATAGCTCCGATGAGACCCCTTGACCCACATTTCTGCTTTAAAATTGCTAAACAGCTCGGTTTCAAAACTCCAGTTTCGCCCGGAAATTTATTAGGACAAGAAAGAGGATCATAAAAAAAAAAGCCACACACACACACACCAAAATTCAAGATCTCAGCATGTGATTAAGGTGTTCTCCAAACAAAGGGGGGGGAAAAAAAAAACCCAGATTGAAAGAGAAGGGAAGGAAAAGAAATACAGGTAGTCCTCGGCTTGCGACCGCAATCGAGCCCAACATTTCTGTCGCCACTAAGCGAGGCGGTGCTTAAAGAGAGTTTCCCCGCCATTTTGCTACCTTGCTGGCCACAGTCATTAAGGGAATTGCTGAAGTTAAATTAATAAGGGCAATTTTACTCATCCGAAGGTCACAAAAAGGGATTACGTGAGCCCGGAATATTGTGACTGTCATAAGTACGAGTCAGTTGGCAAACGTCCTGAATTTTGATCAGGTAGGTAACCACGGGGGGGATGCTGCAATGGTCATAAGTCTGAAAAACGGTCATGTTAGTTTTTT